CTATGTATTTAATTCAATAACATTCGATTTTTATTTGGTAGATTTAATATTGTATAGATTTACAAATAATAATTTTTTTAAGTTAACATCTCTTTTTGCTGACGAGCTAATTTGGATGAAAACTATTTTACCCTGATTCCAAACTCTCCGCGGTATACAGGGTGGTCCGAACTGTATTCTGAAAATTTCGGCAGCATATTCTGCACATAAAAATAAGTAAAAAAGTTCGTATAAATGTATGTCCTAAAATGCTTAGTTTCGGATATACAGGGTGTAGAAGTTTCATTTTTATTTCGATTTTTTCCAAATAATTTCTGCAGTAATGTCAATATTTGGATGAAAATTGGTGTCTGGAAGTTTTTTGACATGAGAAATTTGGGATTTTGATATCGTAGATGGCGCCACCTACATATGAGGCGTTGCGGATAGTAAGGGCGAACTCAACAAAAGCTACTTTTGAGAAAATTGAGTTTAAAGAAATTAGCAGACGGGCGAATTCAACAAAAGAGCTATATTATGTTTTTGTACTAACACGTTATTTATTTGCATAGGATAGGGTTTTTCATAACTTTTGTATATAAAATATAGGTACAAATAAAATTTTGATTAAGAATTTTATTTGTGTATTTTTTTACATTTTACTCTTACCCATAGGACTAGAATTTAGGTATAATTAAAGAAATTAATGTCAACCTCAGATTCACTAAAGGGTTTAAATTTTAAACCGGTATAAGCTGAGAATTTAAGATCTACTTTAATAGTACTTACATAAAGACAATTCCTTTCTGACGCTACCTGACAATTAAAATTTAACCGGTATAAAAATTTCTTGAACACCTTTATTGAATCTAGACGTTATTTTTATTTTTAATTAAACGTTTTATTATTGCAAAAAATGACAAGCAAGCTTACTAAACGAATCAGTCACGCGCTGCCAATATCGGCTCAGCGCGAGATTGTTGAGTTCGCCCTTACTACCCGCTTAGCTATCGCATAACTGAAACTTTCGTTTATTTCAAAGTGCTTGTTTGAAGGCGAAGCAAGGGTGAAATCAACAATTCGACCGTTCTATGAGGTAGGAATTGTAATATAAAATTAAATTACGGAAAAAAACAATTTTGACAAAATGTTGAGTTCGCCCTTACTATCCGCATCATATTTTTAACTGATTTGAAGAGTATTAACTTTTCGTCCGTCCCTGTATAAAACTACTGTGTAAAAAAATATACATTTACGACATGTAAAAAAAATAAAAATTTCCCAAGTTTATTATTTCAGTGAAATAACTATCTACTCAACGTGTTTATTTTCCGTCAATAATGACACGTATTGACTATTTCCATTCTAAATATCTTGAGAACGGTTGCTCGTAGCGATTTTTACAAAGACATATTTTTTTACGTAGAAAGTCACAGAGATGTATTTTTTTTCCCTCGGTAGTTTTATACAGGTACGGACAAAAAGTTATTAAGCTTCAAAACAGTTAAACCACAAGTAGGTGGCGTCCTCTACCAGTAGGAGTCATATTGACATAAAAATCAGATCTCTCATGTCAAAAAACTCCTAGAAATTAATTTTCATCCAAATATTGACGTTACTTCAGAAATTATTTGGAAAAATCGAAATAAAAATGAAACTTCTACACACTGTATCTCTAAAAATGAGCATTTTAGGACATACATTTATACGAACTTTTTTACTTATTTTCTTGTAAGATCTATTACATCACTACATACAACACTTTTTGACCGTTTTTTGAAACTTTATACCCTAACACGTCCCTATACCCCCGTACCCTATACGTTCTAACACGTCCATTTGACTAACGTCACTGAACTTTGATAATAGGCATCCAATCAGAAAGGTTACTTGGAAAAAGTGTTGGAAAGCTAATTATTATTTTGGTTGGTTTATTTAACGTAAAAGAGAAGTTTCCTAGGTTTGCACGGTTGTTGGACAGCCAGAAGGCACAAAAGATAGTGAATCTCTTGGGCTTTTTCAGATTTTCGCTTATAGTTCCGAAATGTTGCATTTTAGGGAATATTTTGCCATTATGTAAAAAGAATTCTGCATCGAATAAGTACCACACTTATTCAATTCAATTCAGTAGTATAGCTAAAATCAAAAGTTGAACAATGGTAATATACTTACCGTGTGTTTCTCCAAAGTGGTTCACACTTATAACTTTTTATTTTTTCAGATTAAGCATCAAATTGTAGATTTAACGTATGTGTGCTAAATATTAAATATATTCAACGGGAGGCACCGTACACGTCAAATGAACCAATCAAAACAATAATTAGTTTTCCAAAACTATTTTTCAAGTGATTTCCTTAATAAATCTTATTTGACGGCCTATAATGAATTTCCATGACATTAGTAAATAATGAATTCTGGTGCTTTGATATAAATGAGTCGCTGCCTCCATTAGACTAACATATTATAGATATAAAATTATAAATAATAATGTATAATACTTCATTAAAAAATAGCTATTTATGTAACTAGTACCTAAAATGATGTTTTTTAGGACGAATCATTACTGTTTGCGGACGAGGCGTTAGCCGAGTCCGAAATAGTAGATGAGTCCTAAAAAACATAATTTAGGTACGTGTTACATACACTATTTTTTGTCATACGCTTTTTACAGTTTTTTAGAACGCATATTTGCAAATTTTCCATATTTGAAATTATAATGTTTGAAAAAGTTGGCTTATAAATTCATATCTTAGTAACGAGTTTGTTTATTTCATCGCATTTTGACATGTCATTCGAAATTTGTCACAAAATCACACAAATTCATCAACAATTTTAAAATGTTCCAAAATCCCGAACATATTGCTAATAAGGCCAAAGAAATCGTGTTGGATTTACTTCCTGTGAAGTCTCGTGCCATTTACCAGAAAGAATATGATGTTTTTAATGAATGGAAAGACAAAAATGGCGTATTCGTTGTAAATGAAGATGTATTGCTAAATTATTTCCACGAAAAGTAAGTACCTAGGTACCTATTTAAAAGAGGCTTTTAAATTAAAATATTCTTAAATTACAGTCACAAACATTCAAACCATCGTCAATTTGGTCGAAATATTCCATGCTGAGAGCAGTGTTAAGTGTTAAAGAAGATATTTATATTGACAAATTTCCAAAACTTATTGCTTTTTGAAGAGGAATTCGGTTGGTTACGAGCCTAAAAAGTCTAAGGTTTTGTCCATAAAAGAGATCGGTGATTTTTTGGCCACGGCTAGTGATGAAACTTATTTACTTACTAAGGTAAGTTTGCGATAATGATTTTTAAAATATATAGATGGTTTCTTATTCCATTGTATTTGATTTTTAGGTAGCTCTTGTCATTGGCCTTTGTGGAGCATGTAGAAGAGAAGAATTGTACTCTCTACGAGTGCAAGACATCATAGAAAAAGACAACAGCTGCCTTTTAGTTACCCTTGCGGATACAAAAACTAATATCAAAAGAGTGTTTCCGGTGGTGAACGAAGGGAACGTTGTCAATCCAGTTGAGTTGTATAGAAAATATGCTTGTCTTAGGCCAAAAAATGTACCACATGATTATGTCTTCATCTCTTATCGTAAAGGAAAATGCACCGTGCAACGAGTCGGCATTCATTCATTTGGGAAGATGCCATCGATTGTAGCAGCATTTTTAAAGTTGTCGAACCCAAACGAATATACAGGTCATTGTTTCCGACGTAGTTCTGCTACTCTTGCTGCAGATGCAGATGTGGATTTTACATCGCTGAAACGCCTAGGAGGTTGGAGGTAAAAATTTTAATATTTTCCGATCTTGTTCTAAACAACAATAATTATTTAGGTCGTCCACAGTGGCCGAAGGTTACATAGAAGAATCTATTGAGAAAAAGAAGAAAGTTTGCAAACTGCTAATGGGGGAAAAGAAAATCGCGACCACTTCCACGGATGTATTACCAAGTACATCATCGTTCGCATTTACTCCACCTCATCAGAAAGTAAATTTACCTGCCAATGGAGGAGTCGTTTCGATTGCAGATGCAAGTTTTCAAAATGCACAAAATTGTTCATTTCATTTTTATTTTTCCAAATAACTTAGCTTTTGATATTGTTAGTATTTAATAATTTAAAAATCAAATACAATGGAATAAGAAACCATCTATATATTTTAAAAATCATTATCGCAAACTTACCTTAGTAAGTAAATAAGTTTCATCACTAGCCGTGGCCAAAAAATCACCGATCTCTTTTATGGACAAAACCTTAGACTTTTTAGGCTCGTAACCAACCGAATTCCTCTTCAAAAAAGCAAAAGTTTTGGAAATTTGTCAATATAAATATCTTCTTTAACACTTAACACTGCTCTCAGCATGGAATATTTCGACCAAATTGACGATGGTTTGAATGTTTGTGACTGTAATTTAAGAATATTTTAATTTAAAAGCCTCTTTTAAATAGGTACCTAGGTACTTACTTTAAACAAATAACTTAGCTTTTGATATTGTTAGTATTTAATAATTTAATTATAAATATATGTATAATTTTATGTGATTTTGTGACAAATTTCGAATGACAAAATAAAACAACCAAATAACGAATTTAGACATTTTAGTCCATAAAGGTTGCCATGACGACCTTTACGGCCTAGGCCGAAAAAGAAACATTTTACGGACTGAAATGAGTCCGTAAAATAGCTGTTTTTGGGAGCGTATGACAAAAAATATATTAATAGGACTTAAATATAATTGCATTATTTTAGAGTCTAACTAGAGTATTTCTTATAACTGTGAAGGACTTTAGAACAGTAGTCATAAAACTTTTTAATATTTTATATTATTTTATTTAATTCTATTGTTACACATATGATAGATTATATCTATTTTGGAAGTCATCTTATCTTTTTCACTAAAATTTTATCTTAAGCTTTTAATTGTAGTACGTAACAATTATGCACCGTTAGATTAATAATGATTCCAGTACAGTATATTTATAGATGTTTTGTTTCATTGTTTCAGACACGTATCCATCATGCTGACGAAAGTTTATCTATGTCCATCGGACAAGAAATACGCCTGCTCATGGGAAGGATCATCCAACGACATAATTGAACACTTTATCGCAGAACACGAGGATCTACTAAGCCTTAACAACATAATTAGCATCAATTTGTCTGTTTTGTCCGAAAGTTTCTTATTTTTCCACGATACCGAAGTATATCTTCTGCAAACAAAACTAAATAACGGCCATCTTCAATTATTTTTAAGATACCTAGGTCCGCCAAAAATTGCCTCTAAACTGAAATATGACGTTCATCTCGACAGTAGTGACAAAATATTAGATAAACAAAACATACATGTGAATGAAGGATATTTCGATATTAATTTAGATTGCATAACGAATGTTTTCGGTGATATTAGTTTTATGAACTGTAAAGTTTTGATAACCGAGGAAGCAAGAAGTACAAGCTCTGATGATGGAGTTGTTTTGGAGGACGATAAATCTTTTAATACGGAACCTATTCCGGATATTATAATAAATGACTTGAAAATAAATGACAAGGAGAATGAGGTTCCTGTTGAAACACCTGTTAACGAAGTAAATTTAGGATCAATATTTCGCTGTAGAAAGCAATCCACGATGAGCACAAACAGAGTTACTTGGTACGATCAGACTGATAATGTGATAGAGCACACTGAATCTCGAGAACCAAAAGTTACTGTTCAGCGAAGTAGCAGTTGTGCAACTGAAAAAACGAGAAACAGTCCAAAGAGATCTGGAAGTACTTTGATATCCATTAAAGAAAGCGATTTAGATTTGGAACTACGGTGCACGAATTGCGAAAGGCATATTTCGAACCCTATATTTGTTTGTCAATCGAGACACAACGTATGTAAAGATTGTTATTACGATAAAAAGCATTGTAGTCAATGTAATACAGAAATTACACCAGATAGAAACGTCGAATTGGAAAAGAAAAGTGACGGATATCGGTATGCATGTCGAAATAAAAAGAATGGCTGCCTGGTAAGGTATCTCTTTGAAGATATATTCGCTCACGAAACAGATTGTATATTTTGCACTTACAATTGCCCATTAGAAGACTGTGGATTCAAAGGTGCCTACAAGCAAATGGTCGGTCATCTAAATTTAATTCACAGTAGTGTAAAAATCTTTGAGTCGTCGTTTGCAGTGTTCAGTAGACATAACGAGCTTTTCCTAGTTAACGAAAGGATGGGCATCGTTTATTGTACTTTAAAATGTTCCGACGACAAAGTAATATGGACTGCAAGAATGCCTGGTCCCAAGGAGAGAAAATTCTTTTGTGAACTCAAATTTAAGGGAAAGAATTTTAAGTTCCCTATATTATTAACACAGTACGGTGATTATTATATGAAAGAAATACCAGTATCGTATATGAAAGAGCAAAGACTAAAATCAAAAAATTCTATATTAACAATTACAAGATAAGGTCTGGTTTTGTTGATATGGTATAAAATTTTGTACCTATAATTACATTATATTGTACTATTTAAAAAAGCAGGCGTGTGTGATATATTTTTGAAAAAAAAGAATTATATCAATAAATGGATTATTTGACTACGTATACCATTTTTTGTAATAAGCATTATAAGTTCATAAAAAACTCTTATTTTTTAATGAATATTTTAGCTCAAAATAAATTGCTTCAGAAATATTTGTGTGAAAATGTACTGAAAGCATCTGATTGATAAACTGTCTTTAACGGCAAGTAATTTGTTAATATGAAGAAGCGTGAGATACATAATGTAATTTTAGAAGTGATTAATTTGGCACTAATATTCAGAAATGCTATATAATAATTAGACACAAAATGATGATTAGTTTTATAACTTTACTTTTTAGATTATATTAGTTTTTACTTTTTTTATTTATTAATACTTTATTTGACTCATTAAGTTATCAAAATACCTATGTATATAAAATAGAGCCGATGATGTTAAACTGTCTATGATTATTTATAAAATGTGATTTATTTAAAAAATGTATTTTTAGGAAATAAAGATCAGTTTTCCAATGTTATAACAATGTTATTTTTGTATACACATTTTGTTTATACACATCGGGACAGGTCAACTCTGTGTATAGGATTTTAACGTGTAAGACAGTGATGTAGGCAGCTTAATGGCAAATCAAATGTATTAAAAAGAGAAAAAAAGTTGGGTGGGTATGGGTGGGTACATGTCTTCTGAGCGGTATTGCCAGATTTTGCATCAAAATTTCAAACCGCATAAGTAGACGTTTCAAAAAAAATGTGGCATCTAGGGTTGGATCTGGATTTTCGACAATTAGTTACTCATTTTACTACAACTGTAATAGATTACATTTAGCTTAGATATATTATCTTCATTTCAGTAGTATACATGAACATTTTTAACATAGTTTATTTTATTCTAATTTCTTTAAGACTACGATAATATACTGGTCGGCAAGAGAAAATCTTGGGTCGTTTATTTTAGTCATCATTTACCTACATGTCTAGAAGTGAATCGCTATGGCAATCTTGTAAGTCGGGGAGAGAAAATTATTACCTATCCACTTAATCATAATCATAAATTTAACATAGTTTATTTTATTCTAATTTCTTTAAGACTACGATAATAGGTCGGCAAGAGAAAATCTTGGGTCGTTTATTTTAGGCATCATTTACCTACATGTCTAGAAGTGAATCGCTATGGCAATCTTGTAAGTCGGGGAGAGAAAATTATTACCTATCCACTTAATCCGGAGCTCAACTTCATAGGCTTGGGAAAATTCTTGCTCTTTTCTCTTTGTTCATTTATACAATCACAGAGTCTATAGACTCTGTGAACGACAATCGGCACCCAAAGCCGTGTGTACATTATCGGTTATATCATTAAATAAACTAACCAAAAAATATGCTGTATTACGTAGTAAATAGTGCAAATTCTATTGTCGACCATTCTAATCAGTATTAAATAATAATGGAGTGAGCCAGTGTGAAGTGAGACATTAAATGATTGATCTTTTTGTTAAATTACGTGGTATAACTTAACACAATGATGAATCGTTTAATGTTTCATATGCACCTCCATAATTATTTAATCTGTAATCATACTGATTACATTGTTCGACAACAGAATTTGCGCTTTTAGTACGTTTTGGAATTAATAGATTATCTGTATTATGCAACTAGGGATGTACGTGTCTACGTAATAGAGCATCAGCATCTTTCTCAATATATCGTATTGTACTGAACACGTTGACACACGAGAATCAGCAACCAAAGCCGTGTGTACGCTTCATTAAATAAACTAACCAAAAAATATGCTCTATTACGTAGTTACGTACATCCTCAGTACCTAGTATAATAGGACCGATAATCAATTAATTACATAATGTTGTAAACATCACAAATTCTATTGTCGACCGATCCGGATTAAGTGGATAGGTAATAAACTTCTCATTTTTCTCCCGTATTTTATAGTCTTTTCTCTTTCAGTATATCGTATTGTACTGAACAAACGTTGACTTTATTCTTCATACACAAGACAATCGGCATACAAAGCCGTACGTTGTACGTTTTATTAAATAAATTAACCTTTTTGTTTATTTATTGGTTCGTTTATGCTTTATTTAATGATTGATATTATTTTGTTAAGTTATACCACCAAGTGCTATAAACTAGTACAAAATTAAAAAAGTTAATTTTAAGTAAAGTTCTTTGAAATATATCTATATTACTATTATGAATGAGAACTCCTATCGATTTTTAATTTGGAATTATATTAATTGCCATGTGTCATGTTTTTATTATTATTGTCAATTTTCTGCGGATAGCTGATAAATTAATCTATTGTCAATTCAATATAATTATAATATGATGTTCAAATACCATTTTGTTATTCATAAAAACGGCCTTTTTATTACTTCTCTGTCATACTGATCTATCAATAAATATTTCTTACGTGTTGCAGCAGCCGAGCAAAATTTATTAATTTTAGGGTCCTTTATATTTACTCATCCCTGATTCCATCCAATTATGGCCGCTGATGAAGCGGGAGGTAGACGTTCGCTTTCGGTTATAGGCGTACTGAAAACTAAAATTTCTTATCCTCGTATTCAGAATTATACGATCAAACGAACTTACCTGAAGTGAAGTTCGATCGTAATTATATGAGGCGTCCAGTCCGAATGTATTATCTTGATTTTTCTATACGTAGTACCGTCCCTGCGTGCACAATTTTAAAGCTATAAGCTAAATTCCCTCCCGCTACCAGCCTAGGTGGCGGCGCCGGACCTGGCGCGGCGGTCGGTATTCATTTTTCAAAGATTTATTCATTAATTCAAGCGACCATGGGGCAAAACGGGAGGGTGGGAAGATAATACATTCGGACTGGACGCCTCATATAATTACGATCGAACTTCACTTCAGGTAAGTTCGTTTGATCGTATAATTATATTCGCGTCCAGTCCGAATGTATTATCTTGATTTTTCTATACGTAGATGTTTAAAGAACTGATGGTTGCAAATTAATGAATGCGGTGCAGAAAGCATTTTTTTTTTTTGAGACAAAAATAGCTGAAATTATAAATATGTTTATTGAATGCAACCAAGATGAAACCAATTTAACGGCCATCAATACATGGATTTATTAAATTGTGACAATTTAACATATACATATATGCATACTAAGCAGAGACAGAAACCCATAAGATGGCACTTCCATAAAGGATTCTGCCAAAATTGTTCAATTATACTTTATAAACCAGTTAACTCATCGTGTCGATAGAAATCCCTGTCTCAATGTAGAACTGCGTGGATAACTCGACTATAGTGAGGTTTAACCGATATATATATTTTTAAGGTGTTTCTAACCCATTGCTTAATATTTAAAAGGCCTTACTTTTTAAGCCATTAATATTAGATAACATTTGAATGTTAGACTTTGGTAGTAAGAAATTAAGATTCTCAATAATTTATTTTCCAAAATGCTTTAATTACGTCGATGAATTAAACCAGAGTCATCATATAAATTAGGTTTCGATCCATACATTGGTATGGATATTGTGGGACATTGATATAAAGTAGACACAGATATTGATCTGTGTCAATTTTATACCAGAAGTTTTATTATTATTTGTATTATTTATTTATTTTTTTTTTGATAATTTTCAGTAACTATGATATGCATATATAATTATATACTGACTAAAAACAAACTGACATCTGTCTCTGATAACTAAGGTTAAACGTGAAACCAATATATGATTTATTATTTTTCATAGCAGTTCACGGCAAGAATTATATAATCTATTTATATACGTAAAACTGCAAGAAAACTATTTCTACTTTATGATTTAATTGATATGTCTATTCTTTCCGAAATTTCTAGATAAGAAAGTAGAACTGTTAGGGAACATTTATGGTAAAATTTTAATGCAGTAAACCTTAGACACATCCAATCTTACAAAAGCCTCTTTCAACGAGAAACCATCCAGATATATTTAAGAAAAAATTCTGAAAAAAAAGTTTGCGAAAGTTTACATTAATGTTACTATAATCATCTCTTTCGAAAGTGTATTGTAGAGGAGAAAATATATATTATATACTGTAAGCTGTAAGAAAAAACTAACTTTTTGTTTCGATAATTTGCACAAAGTCTGTCACTTTGTCAAAATGTATAAAGTATTGGCCAAAACACAACACTGCTTTTATAGACCGAAATGGGTAAATATAAACTCTAAATGTAGATGGTGAGTATTCCTATTCCAACATATGAAAGTCAAAGATTTACATAAACAAATTAGCATTTAACAGCCGTTATCATAAGGACCTCCTTTTGAAATGAGACACAGTTACGTGTTTCTTAAGATTTAGAATAAAACTTACATTTCCATTAGAATAGCTTTAGCCAAAATAGAGAAATTTCTTTAGCCAAAATAGAGAAAAATAGGAGACGTGTTTTTTTTTTTATATATATATATATATATATATATATATATATATATATATATATATATATATATATATATATATATATATATATATATATATATATATATATATATATTAGCTATTAGCTATGAAAAATCTAGGATATTAGCTATTTTATTAATATATACATATTTGAGTTATTATTATTAGCTGGTCAGCTAAGTTGATTACTTTTAATGACTTGGAGGTCAACGTTAAGTTGGTTGTCGCCTATTTTATGGTGGGAGGCTGCCAAGGCAGCAAACTGGAGGGTACCTAATGAATTGGCCGCTCGTGCCTCATGTATCACCCCCTTCTTTTTCAAAGAAAGAAGGTAAAGACATATTCGAATATCTGTCACAAATATCTGGATACATTCCGTTGTTTTCCTCTAAGCAAGGTTCAAACGTAAATTTATCCAGAGGTCCTTCTTCCTCATGATTTTCATTTGAAAATCCTTCAGAGGGAAAAATAGTTGATACCTTTTGTACAAGATACCGTCAACCACATTAGGACTATGCGTCCGGTATCTATAACAACCGTCCATATTTGTTCCATGATATATTTATGAATATTTTTCTCTTCTTTTAAAAGAATATTGAGTCTACGACGACTATTGTTAAAT